CTACAAATTATGGCAGTGGTTGCTGACTCTATTTCTCTATTAACACTGGGCAGGAACTGAAAACTTTTATTAAACACATACCAAATGCCAGCCCTTTTTTTTTTTTTTACACATTTTTTCCTCATTCTTCACAACAATCCTGAGAGGCAGTCAGAGAAATCGAGGCACTGAGAGATGAAGGCACAGTTCTTCCTGAAACCAAAGCCCAGGTTGCTGTAACGGATGGGCCAGAAAGAATATGAAAGGGGGAAGAACTGCTCCTCAAGGATTAATTTAAAAATACAAATGTACTGAATGTTTCTCCTTTTTTGTTTTAAGGAAAACAACCTGTGGTATTTCCTCATACAGGAATGACTCCCGGCAGATAAAATGAGGAGAGAATTTTAGTTCAAGCTCAACATAAAACAGCAGAATCACAACTACGATGGCATTTTTTAAGCTGTTGCAGAGACTGGAAGAGATTTCAGTAGGGCAGATTCCTCTCGCTGACAGCAAGGCACCCCTTTCTGGAGCTCTCAGGAATAATTCTGAAGAAAAGCTTTCTCTCTGCTCTCTGTAATGGGTTTGCAATAGGGCTTTGCAGAAGTCCCCTCTCAGCCACTAGCTTGCAACCTAATTACTTAATTGCAGGACTGGCAAGATTCCTTCTACGCCATTTCAGGCGCTCTCTCAGGTAAATTACACAGCACCGTCATCTAAATCCATTTAGCAAAATGAGTTTGTTCTCCCTCAAACAAGGGAGACAAAGCAATGCAGGGCCCCATGTCTACCTGGACTCCAGCAACAATGTGGCCTTCTCACTGAAGAAAGGAGCAAGCAGGTCCGCTAGCTTGCCTTCTTCCATACTCTGATCTCCGGGGCAGCTGGGTTTGGGAGCCTCGCTGTGGTCTAAAATATTGGAATCCATGTGCTTTAAATATCCATTTTTGCATCTTCCTTTGGAATAGTCCTCCATAATCTGCAAATAAAAGTATTTAGTCACGAAGTGAAATGGGAGGCGAAGGGGCTACCTGGAGAGAGAGCTATGATGCAGATGAAGGAGAAGTGAATGAGCGCAGGTCAGCTGGACACACTGAGCCAGAGAGAAAGACCGCAAATCAATTGGGGAGCCACAGGGAGAGGAGAGAGGACACAGGCACACAGGTCCATGCGCACACTCATTTTAAGGCAGGAAGATGGCCTGGAAAGAGGACAGCGACGTTTACATCACTTTTCCTCCCTTAGTTTCCTCATCTATAAAATGGGGATAGCAATGCTACCTCCCAAGGCGGTTAGATGAGTAAACAAGAAGCCCAACTCAGGCCTTACTACAAGTGCCCATGAGATGTGCCGTCTCACAACCCACAGCCCATGCCTTGCTGGTTCTTCCTAAGGATATGGAACCCACGTGATTAACGAGCCTTGGATATTCATTATATTCCTCTTACTAGGTACTCTCCTTGTTGTATCAGAAACTGACTTACTCTGTACAGACACATGCTGATTAACATGGCTCTGATTTGTCTCATTAGGAAGGTGGAGAGTCCCTAATTCTCACGGAGATGTTATTTACAGATCCAGCTTCTTGGGTCACTGGGGTCCCACAGGAATGGTACCAAGACTGCATCTAGTTAAAGCCTGTGCTGGGCATGTCTTGAGGTGCTGCAATTAGCATTCTTCCTACCCCCATCCGAAGCTGTAAATTTCTTCTATCAGTCTATAAATAACTCCTCTTGACTTCATTGCCGCTGGTGATAAACACACTAGCCATCCCCTCATCTCTCTACACTGGTAAAATGCTAAGATTTTTAAATGGAAGATAAGACCCACACAAATGAGCTGTTATTTACAAGGGCTTGTTTGCTACCAATCTAGTTATTAAATCCATCAAATAAGCAATCTCAGAGGAGGGAATAATCTAGGATAATAAAAATAGTAATTTTTATTTAAAATAGTTATTATCATTTACTGAGCACTTACACATGTCTTTCTATTTAAATATGACAACAACACTAAAAGAAGCATTACCACCCTCATTGAGGAGGACACTCAGTCTCAGTGGTTAAACAAGGGTTAACCAAGGTCACAGAGATTATCAATACTAAAGCTGAGACTCAAAACAAGGTCCACCTGATTCCAAAGTCCCCACTTTTGTTTTCCACCCTAGCCCTATCTTCATTTCACTATCTCCTGTTCATGACTCCACGAATTTGAACACCTTGAAGGCCAAAAATGCCTAATCTGTAGTCTTCTATCTCCCATTACATTCTAGTATTTAGGGTTCTTTCAATCTCAGAGATTGTTTGCTCCAAAAGTCCAGAATCATTGTGACTGAAGGAGTGCTCTACCTGGACAGAAGTCAAATTCTCGCAATGCCCAATGACAGCAAGCTGGATTCCAGATCACGCAATTACAGAGGGTCCCAGAGACGGAGTCTGGTTCCATCACTAGCTCCTTACATTGAAGTCAATGACTAGGAGTCCACAGCAGTCCAGACAAGAGGGTTCTTGTCCCAACTCTGTCACTGATTTACTCTGTGCCCTGGATAAACCATCTCCCCTCAAAGGCCTGTTTCCAATGCATAAAATGAATATGGATTGGAATTGGATTGGATCTTTAAAGGTCTCTCCCAGTCCAACATATAATATCTATAAATTCTCCTGTATTTAACTCTATGTTTAACTCTATGTTTGTGCTCAAGTTTCACAGCTGGCTCTGTCACCCTGGGCATAACTTCCGAGAGGGAAGAGACCTAGTCTCTCTGTTCTCCACTGGCACACAACAGGCACTCGACACAGGAAGGAGGACAGGAGCCCCACCAGACTCGACACAGACTGGGAGGCTGACACGGCCACAGAGTGGAGCGGATGGAATAAGAAGCTAACTGCCAAGTTCCTACCTCATTACTCTGCTCCAAATGCTGGTCACTCAGGAAATTATTCTCGTCATCTTCTTCCATTTTGATTGTGTCCTTGTCCTCCTTTCTAGCCAGAAGCTACATGGAGCATGGAATGGTGTGAAAATGCAACCCAAAGAAGTGTGCAGCATGAATGTATATGAAGAAGTCAGTGATGCCTTTTTTTTTTATTATTAAAATGCACAACCAAAAACAAACCAACATAAAAGAGGCAGAAACGAATGCCAAAGCCATGAAATAAAAATTAACCAAAGTTAGAGTTTCTAGTTCTGGCAAATCATACACAGCAGCCTAAGATCAAGCATAATTTAAGGACAAATTTCCCAAGAAATCACTAAAAGCATTTCCCCTTGCCCTGGCACGGCCTTTCCTGAGCTGCTGTAAATTGAAGATGCTGTCTGTTGTGCCGCTGCCATTCCTGCCTTTGCTAAATTCACTTTGAGATTATATAAAAGTAACAAGATTTTGGAAAACAGCTATTGATGGAAGTGAAAATATCAAACAGCAAGAAAGCAGTAAATGAAATTTATGGTGTGCCCAATTTATGCATCACTTCTATTTAACACAAGGCATACCTCTTGTTAGGATGTCACACGTCTGAGATGGACAGTGCCAGCAATACCGTCATTTTGCTGACAGAAAGTCCTCATTGTTAATGAGAAGAGTATCAAGCTTGCCTGATGATAACTTCATGCTTTTGGAAATGAAGGGCAGCTATTTTATAAAGACTTCAAATATGCCTAATGCTTTAAATAAATATAAATACCAAAGCTTCTGCATTCTGCATTCTGCAAAATGGACAGTAAAAACCTTCTGAAGAGAGCCAGATCTTAGCTCTTAAGAGGAGCAAAATCCTAGTCATGGGACACCTAGATTAACCAAAGAAAAAATGAGAGGAGGAGCCAGCAGGCGGCGTGGTGGTCAAGGTGCTAGGTATCTACATGGCTGAACGTGATTTGAGACCTGGATCTGGCAGCTTAAAAATCATCAGGCACGAGTACGTGTGTGCCCAAGATCCCAGGAGGAGAATGAAGGAGAAGGGACTGGCAGGGCCATCTCCCCTGCATGATTTCTCACCTTCCCTCTCACTCTCTCAGTGAGTGAATGCACCCTATGGCCAAAACCTTTAAAAAGGGAGATGAAAGGTGGCCATGCCAAGAGAGGAAGTCAATCCAAGCTGTATCAAGATTACAGCGAATCTCTTTTCACCAGTAAAGTAGTCAGTTATGCACTGAAGGTGTGAAAGCCAGAGCAGTGGGCCATTTGTTGGGCCTGGTATACGTACGAGATGCCTATGTTTCTACCTCAACAGCTTTATTGTATGAATTCCCACATTTAGCTAATTACCCCCATAACTTTCTAGCCTCACATAAATTATTCTGATCTTCCTCTTAATAGAAAGGCCTTGTTTTAAAAGAAGAAAAACCAAACCAAACCAAACCAAACAAAACAAAACAAAACAGACTGACTTCGGAAAGTCATTTTATAGAAACTTCTCAGGGTCAGAACACATTCAACCTAACCATATGCAATCTGCAATCAGCTTCAAGCAGAACTGATGGTCAAAACCACATCTTACTGTCAAGCATTAAACAAACTAGGCATGCGTATACACTTACCAAGGCATAAAAGATAACAATACGGGTGAGGAACCCTCTTCCTCTACTGGCTTCTTCCCTAATTATTAAGACATTCAAAGTGATATAGACCAACCAGGACTATCAACTTATCGGGAATACAAAATATTAAACCACTTTGAAAAAATACTGACAACTTCTTATAAAACTAATAACCCTATAACTCAGGAATTCTATTCATAGGTACTTACCAAGAGAAAAAAATGAAAAGTTTGTCCATACACAGACTTACATAAAAGCGCTCATGTCACCTTTTGTCCAAATGTCCATTAATAGTACAATGAATAAACAAATTGTCACATGGCATATTCATATGATGGAATGTTACTTACCATAAAGACAAACAAATCATTGATCTACATAATAACATAGATAAGTCTCAAAAACATTATGCTGAGTAAAAGTTGTTTACACAGAAAATAATACACTGCATCATTCCAGGCAAATGTAGTCCACACTGGGACAAAATGAGGAGCATAGCTGCTGTGGGCTGGGATCAGGGGGGGATTAGCAAGAAGGGACACAAGGATTTTGATATGCGTTTGGGTTACACATTTGGTAAAATGCAAATATAGACTTGTACTTTCTATATTTCACTGTATATAAACTTAAATCTTAAAAAATAACTATAACACTGGTCCCAAAGCCTAGTGGTTGAAGTAGCAGATACCACATGGTTGACTACAGTTCAAATCTCAGCCCTGGCAGCTTAAAAAAAAATTTGGGACATATGTGCATGCATGCCCCAAACCATGACCGGATGGAGACAGGGAGGATGAGGGACTGTGCTGTGACTATGCTGCATTGAGAGGGTGCTTTCTCCCTCTCCCTGTCCCTCTTTCTCTGGCAAGTGCACATGCCTTTCAGACTTTTTTTTTTTTAATTTTAAACCATAAACATATATTGAAACTAAAGACATGTCTGCTAAAGTATTTAGGTGGAAGTATACTGATGTTTGCAATTTTGATCAGAATTTACCAAAAAGATAAAATGGAGTGATGATTGGTGGGAAATGTTAACGGAATCTAGGTGATGAACAATGGGTATTCATTGTAAAATTCTTCTCACTTTGTTGTGTCTGAATTCTTTTATAAAAAAATGTTAGAGGGGGAACCAGCAGTTAGCGTAATGGCTATGTCACTGGACTCCCACGTAGTCGACCGCGGTACGTGTCCCGGACCCGGTGGCTTAAAACTCACGCCGGGAGCGTGTGCGTACATGCCCAAGATCCCGAGAGGAGAATGGAGGAGAAGGGGTTGCGGCGTGACCATCCCCCCTGGGGGGTGATTTCTCGCTTTCTGTCTCT